TATGACACCTAGAGATTTGTGCCCAGTTAAGCTCATGATTGCTCTTAAAAACCTGTAACTGAGACCATCAGGATGATGGTGTGTGGAGAGAAGGAAAACTAACGTGGGAAAATTCACAGGCAGCTGAATATGGTGGCTGCAGGCTTGAGTTTGACGGAATGAATTTGGTTTAAATTCTGGACCTACCTTCAAAAACTAGGTGACTTAGACCACTTGAGTTTCTGTTAAGTATAAATTATCTCAGCTGTGAAATCGTTGGTTGACTGAAACAAGGGCCACAGTTACAATCCTGCCTACTCATATATCCATCCTGCTGTGCAGTGTGACTTTGTCACCTGTCAAGAAGTAGAGTCCTCATCTCTTGAGCCTGTCCAAGACTTATGACTTGTGTTAGCCAACAGAATGAGGTGGGAGTGTGCTGGGTCCAACCTGAAGCCTCAAGAAATCTGGCATGCTCTGTATGGTGTCTTGGGACCTCTGCCATGTGAACAAACCTGGAGTAGCCTGCTGGGAGACGAGACCACATGAACCAAGAGGAAGTGGGTTGGCAGAGGTCTTTCTACGTCACCCAGCTCCCTATCTGCTTACTGCCTGCCAACCTGGGAGAGACAGCAGATGCCTGATTGAACCTAGCTGAGATCAGAAGAATCACTCAGCTGGACCCAGCCCAAGCTGCTGGCCCACAAAATGACAAGACAAATAAATGGCTGTTTTACGTCAGGACATTTGCATGGTGGTTTGTTACCCAGCAAAAGCTAACTGATACAAGTTTGTTCAGTTATAGACCTGCTTTATATAATTGTCACAAGAATACCTAAGAGCAAGTACTTCAGTAAACATCAATATGTATTAGTATTAACATTTTAAAAACATCAACAGACCTAGCATTGCAGTATCTTATATCTAAGAGCTGAGTTTGAGTCCCAACTGCTCTACTTCCCATCCAGTTTCCTGCAAATGCACCTAGGAAGGCAGTGGAGAATGGTCCAAGTACTTCAGCAGCTGCCACTCATGTGAGAGTTTCAGATGGAGTTTCTGGCTCCTGGTTTCAGTCTACCCCAACCCTAGCTGTTGAGGCCACTTGGGGAGTGGAAGCGAATGGAAGACACCCCCTACCCCGTCTCTCTCTCTCTGTCTCTCTCTCTCTCTCTCCCTGCCTCTCTTTCCCCTCTGTCTCTCCCTCTGTAACTTTGCCTTTTGAATAAATGAATGAATAAAAACAATGACATGGGCTGGCATTGTAGTGCAGCGTAAGCCACCACTTGAGACCCAAGTACCAATGTGGGAGATCTGGATGGAATTCCAGGCTGCTGGTTTCAAACTGGCCCAGACCAAGTTGTTGCAGTCATTCAAGGAGTGAATCAATAGGGGAGGGTTTCCATCTCCCTCCCTCCCTCTGTCACTCTGCCTTTGAAATAAAATAAATTATTTTTAAAAAATACTGACAGAAAAATTAACATTAGGATAAACAATATCAAATCGAGATTAGGCACCAAGAGTGTCAAATGATAATAGACTGACTGCATCCTACTATCATCCATTGTTTTCGTCTTTCAGTTTATGAGATAGGCATGACAGTAGAGGGGGCCTTGGTATATAGGAGGCACATACATATTCATATATATTCTTAACCTTAGAAGTTGGCTTGGAAGAAAGAGTGGGAGAAGTAGGGAAACGTAGGTTGAAAAAAATTACAGAATGTCTATGGACAAGAAGGTATAATTAACAGAAAACAATTACTTGCAAAGCCTTTGTATCATTAAAATAGGCAAAAAAAAAAAAACCCTCTTTCATAATAAAAGTTGAAATGTGGTAAATTGTAAAAGATATGAGTGTGAGAAGTAGACAAATGGATCTTGTAACCAGCATCAACTAGTGGTAATACACTGGGCAAAAGACTCATCTCTCAAAATTTCATTTTATTCATGTCCCATGTGCAGAGAGTACTACTTAGGCTTCAGGGATTCTGTGATAATTTGAGCATGTATATAAAATGTGTGACACAAAAGTATCACTCCAAAAGTGCTAGCTTTATTATTAGTTTTATTTAAGAGATTCTAGAATTCAGATTTCATAAACCATATTGTCAAATCAACCTGAATCAAAAAGTGAGGCCCTGTGTATTTTTTAAAGATTTATTTATTCTATTTGACAGGCAGAGCTACAGAGAGAGCGACAGAGAGACACAGGGAGAGAGAGAGGTCTTCCATCTGCTGGTTCATTCCCAAATAGCCATGATGGCCAGAGCTGGGCCAGTCTGAAGCCAGGAGCCAGGAACTTCTGGGTCTTCCGTGTGGGTGCAGAGGCCCAAGTACTTGCATCATCCTCTGCTGCTTTCCCAGGCCATAGCAGACAGCTGGATGGGAAATGGAGCAGCCAGGACTCAAACCAGCACCTGTATAGGACAACAGTGCCGCAGGCAGTGGCTCTTCCCACTACATCACAGTGCTAGCCCCCATGTATTAATGTAGGAGATGAAATTCATTCCTAAGCTTATAATTACACACATGTGACTTAAATTTCCAAGGTGCACGAGGATATGAAGAAAGCAGCAAAATGAATCTGTGTGCTTAGAAATGCTTCTGAAAAGCACCCAAAGGCAATGGGTGAGGACTACATACTGTACTGCAGCAATTTACCTCTGTTTCTTGACTTCAGGCATTTTGAAGGCTAACGCTTCTTCCAAAAAATGCATACTAAAGCTGTTATGAAAGTCCAGACAAATTCAGATGGTACAAGTTAGACACTATTATAATGTGGGGGTGCCAAAAGAATTCTAAGCTGTTTTCTGAAAATAAAGTTGGATTCATCCAGCCTTGTGGGATTTACTAGTTAGTGAAGGACAGGAATGTCTCCCTGCCAACCAGAGAAAAGACTGATAGAATGAAGAACAAGACATCTGGAAGTGCAGGGGGAAAGCTACCAAAACCAATTCTAGACTATCTCACAGAAAACTCTTTCCCCCTCTTGACCACCTTTCTGATTATCCAGGTAGACCTACTAATTGACTCGATTCAGTTTAGACTGCTTGTCTCACGGTGTTTAGACAAGGAAAGCCACAAAAACTCTGCTCTGTGTGATGGAAGTTGAGTTCTAAAGAACCAAGGCACATCCCTCCTTAGTAATGTTCCAGGTAACCTGTGGGTGGACGATGTCCACAGTAGATGCAGAAATTCCTTAACATCCCATCTGTAGACACTGCATTTGACCCAATAGAGGGAACTCGTTCACTTGGTGAAGCATCCAATATTCTACGTAGAATAGTGCACTGAGTATTGGTTCTGGACTCAGATGATTTGCTGCTTTCTAACTCTGGGACATTACTTACATTACTTAACCTTACTAATCCTTAGTGTTCTCATATACAACATGAGGACTTCAGGAGGATTCCCCTTATATGGTAGAGCATATTAAATGGGACAGTACATGATAAGTGCTCAGCACAGCATCTAGAAAAATACCAGGCATGCGAAATTTCTAGCTACTGTTATTGTTATTATTATCTGTCAAAATACATTTCCTGGTCATGCCTCATGTAAATACTAAATGAGGCCAAAAAATTTACATTTCCAAATAAGCCCAAAGGCCACTGAAGTGCCTGCCCAATGAGAGATCCAATTTAAATGCAAGGAAAATCTGTTAGGTAATGCCGTGGCATATGGACACAGCTCCATTCCTAATCATTAGTCCTTTAAGTTGCATTTGCTCCTATTTCCTTTTCTCTCTCTTTTCTGGCACCTTTCCATATTCCAGCTTGCTGCCCATAAACCATACAACTGAAATTCCTAATTTAAGTAGCTCTATATCCAATAGCTTCATACTTAGAAAAATCTGTGGCAAGTATTCCTGTTGAGCAATGAAAGCGATTCAATTGAAACTCATGAAACTTAGGAAGAGCTAGTCTTTGAAGTGATCTCTCTATCAGCAAATCCACTAAGCCAACAGTTTATTACTAGGCCAAGATTAGACCCAACTCATCAAAGAAGCACAACAGCTAGAGCAGTGATGGGAGAGCAGGCAAGGCTGTGCTCTCGCTATCTGGCATGACTCCACGGTACATCGCTCCAGTCGAGCTCTGCATGACATGCTTTGGTGTGTGAGGCTTGGGTCAGAGTACAAAGAAGTGGGAATGCATGATTAGTAGAAAAGAACTCAGAGGTCTTTTTAAACTAAGAAAATTTCTCTTTGTCTCGTTGCCCTTCATGGAAGAAGACACACATTATCCTTCCAACAGCAGCAGATGTTGTTTTTTGTTTTAGGAAGGAAAGAGATGCTGCCGCGTTTTTCTCTTTTCTCTTTCAGAGGAAACAGGAAAGAAAAAAATTTTTTTGAGTGCTTTTCAACCTAGAGGAGAATTCCTGGGGCTACCTCCTGCTGTTCTCTTAAATTTGCACCTAACTCTTATAATTTCCCAAAATCACTGTCAAAAATGTTTCTTATAGGTAAAAAGGAAAAACAAATACATTTCAGAAGTAGGACACTGGACGAGGTTTACATAATGGAGAAAAAGCTAGCGCTCAGAGCCTGCTATCATCTCCTTCTACATACTGGCTGTGCCAAACTATTTGACAAGAGTCCTAAAGAATTCGGGAACTGAGTGTTAAGATTGTGAGCTACTCTTTAGTAGACAGGCTATCACCCATTATTTTATATAATGTCATTTTATTAGTGGGAGAATTTTTAAATGGGTGCAGTTTGGTAATGCTTTTGAAATAATTGTTGGAAATGTGGACTACAAATCAGCGACAACAATCCCAAACAGACGGCACTTTTCCATTCCATTGCTAACCAGTTAAAATGAAGGTATCACAACCCAGTTGGCTAGTATTAGTGCCTAAGTAGTATTTTGGGTATGAATGACTTATCAGTATAAAACACAAAACAGTAGTTGTAGGTTTTCATCAGAGAAGTAAAAGTAAAAAACAAATAGGCAAAATAACACACACACACACACACACACATGCACACACACACTCAGAGGCATACACAAAGCACTGTACCTTTGCATGTTTCTTCTTTAAAGAACTTAGCTCCTTCTGTTGTTTCTTTAAGTGCTTCAAGTAAGCCTTGGGGAAAAAAGATGATCAAAATAAGTTTTCAGTAGTCATAATCCAGACACTTGGTGTTACAGGAGTGTTCGCAAAATGACTGAACAATTTTACCTTCATCTGCTTCAAATCTTCTATTCTCACTTGAGGGATGAGTTCAATACCTAAAAGAAGAAGAAGTCACTTGCTAAAAATTAGAGTAACTGATAATATAAAAATCAGTTTTGAAATCTCATCTAGGGGAGATCCAAGATGGCAGAATAGGGAAGGAGCTTACTGCTCTAGTCTAAGGGAAGATAAGATTAAAAGAAGTGGAGAGAGTATAGCCTCAGGGAAGAGTTAGGGAGAAAATGGCAGAGGAAACTTTATGCAAATTAGGGGGGAAGAGTGGACCTCTGAGGAGGGTGTGGGCATGCACAACTCAGGACCCCAGCAGCTGAGAAGCTCAGCACCAGTTCTGGAGTGAGGTAGGACCAGACTGCAACAGCTCAAGCCACTGGTGATAAAGCTGTAGGAAAAGCTCGGTGTGGGCCTGGCTTGGAGCCTTGTGGGGGGCAGTATACCTGCCAAACTGGAGGAAAAAAAGTGGGGGACACATTTCTCCCTGACCACCCTGTCCCAGCACCCAGCACCCTGTAACAAGTCAAGAGAGGGCAGGTGCCATTTTGGACATATGTAATAGATGCGCCAGCTCGTGTCTGTGCACCCAACAACCAGCCAAGCGGAGACACCTGAGTCTGGCAGAAAGAACTGACAGGAGGCTGGGCAATCATGACTGTGGGAGGCTTGTGTCCCAGGACTGTGAAAACACTGTGGGTGCGTGGGAGGGCTCAGGGTATGGCTTGGACTTTGGGCAGTCACTGTGGGCCACTCCACATGCTTGGGGATCCCTGATTCCCTGGTGAAGGTCATTGCTGTGGGATCTGTGCTGACACCAAGGACTGTACAGATCCTTTGTGTAGTTCCTGGGGCAATGCAGATGAATATTGTAACAACTGGGGCTAGCACCCAGGCACCAGTTTCCTTTGAGGAGAGGGGGTGAGCATGAGACTAGGTGAACAGAGCAGAATAAACCTCCCTTCTGTTTTTTTTTTTTTTTTTTTTAAAAAAAAAGAGAAGATTTACCATGCCCAACCTGGTGTCACCTTGGACACTCCCTTCACCCTGGAGCACTGAACAGGGCTCCCTGGCCACACCCACCACACATCTCTGGTTTTTTGAAAAAAATAAACAAAATTGACAAACCATTGGCACAACAAAAAAAAAAAAAATGGAGGGGGGAGAGAAGACCCAAATCAATAAAAGTAGAGATGAAAAAGGAAATGTAACAACAGACACCACAGATTTAAAAAGAATCATCAGAAACCACTACAAAGAATTGTATGCCAACAAACCAGGAAACCTAGAGAAAATGGACAGATCCCTGGACACATACAATCTACCTAAAGTGAGTCATGAAGACACAGGAAACCTAAACAGACCAATAACCACGAGAGAAATTGAATCTGTAATAAAGACCCTCCCAACAAAGAAAAGCCAAGGACCAGTTGGCTTCATCACTGACTTCTACCAGACATTTAAAGAAGAACTAACTCCAATTCTTCTCAAATCATTCAAAACAATTGAAAGGGAGGGGATCTTCCCAAATGTTTTCTATGAAGCCAAAATTATCTTAATTCCTAAACCTGAAAAAGATGCAACAGAGAAAGAGAACTACAGACCAATTTCCCTGATGAACATAGATGCAAAAATCCTCAACAAAATTCTAGCCAATTGAATCCAACAACACATCAGAAAGATCATTCATCTGGACCAAGTGAGATTCATCACTGGTATGCAGGAATGGTTCATCATTTGTGAATCAATCAATTTAATATATAATATTAACAAATTGAAGAAAAAACCATATGATTATCTCAATAGATGCAGAGAAATCACTTGATGAAATACAATGCTCTTTATGATTAAAACTCTAAGAAAATTGGGTATAAAAGGAACAGTTCTCAACACAATTAAGGCAAGTTATGGCAAACTAACAGCCAGTGTCCTATTAAATGGGGAAAAGTTGGAAGCATTCCCACTGAGATCTGGAACCAGACAAGGATGCCCACTCTCACCAATGCTATTCAATATAGTCCTGGAATTTTTTTTTTTTTTTTTTTTTTAATTTTTGATAGGCAGAGTGGACAGTGAGAGAGAGAGACAGAGAGAAAGGTCTTCCTTTGCCGTTGGTTCACCCTCCAATGGCCGCCGCTGCAGCCGGCGCACCGCGCTGATCCGATGGCAGGAGCCAGGATCCAGGTGCTTTTCCTGGTCTCCCATGGGGTGCAGGGCCCAAGCACCTGGGCCATCCTCCACTGCACTCCCGGGCCATAGCAGAGAGCTGGCCTGGAAGAGGGGCAACCGGGACAGAATCCGGCGCCCCGACCGGGACTAGAACCCGGTGTGCCGGCGCCGCAAGGTGGAGGATTAGCCTATTGAGCCACGGCGCCGGCTTAGTCCTGGAATTTTTAGCTAGAATTATTAGGCAAGAAAAAGGAATCAAAGAAATACAAATTGGGAAGGAGGAATTCAAACTATCCCTATTGGTTGATGACATGACTATGTATATATATATATTGGGGATCCAAGAGACTCCACCTAGAGACAATTGGAACAAAGAAGAGTTTGGTAAAGCAGCAAGATATAAAATCAAAACACAAAAACAACAGCCTTTGCATGCACAGACAATACTACAGCTGAGAAGGAACTTTTAAGCTCAATCCCATGCACAATAGCTACCAAAAAAATCAAATACCTTGGAATAAATTTAACCATGGAAGTCAAAGATCTCTACAATGAGAATCACAAAACATTAAAGAAAGAAACAGAAGATACAAAAAAGTGGAAAAATTTCCATGTTCATGGATTGGAATAATAAATATCATCAAAATGTCCATTCTTCCAAAAGCAATTTACAGATTCATCAGTGTAATACCAATCAAAATACTAGACATTCTTCTCAGATCTAGAAAAAATGATGCTGAAACTCAATGGAACACAAGAGACCTGAATAGCTAAAGCAATTTTATACAACAAAAACAAAGCCAGAAGCATCACAATATCAGATTTCAAGACATACTAGAAAGCAGTTATAATCAAAATAGCCTGGTACTGATACAAAACAGATGGATAGGCCAATGGAACAGAATAGAAACACCAGAAATCAATCCATGCATCTTCAACAAACTTATCTTTGACAAAGGAGCTAAATATCAATCCCTGGAGCAAGGACAGACTCTTCAACAAATGGTGCTGGGAAAACTGGATCTCCACATGCAGAAATATGAGGCAAGATCCCTACCTTACACAAAAATTCACTCAGAATGGATTAAACCTAAATCTATGACCTGACACCAATCAAACTATTAAAGAACATTGGGAAAATTGTGCAAGACATTGGCAAATGCAAAGAGTTCTTAGAAAAAAACCCCAGAGGTATGTGCAATCAAAGACAAAATTGACAAATGGGATTACATCAAATTGAGAAGATTCTGCACTGCAAAAGAAGCACTCAGCAAAGTGAAGAGGCAACCAACAGAATGGGAGAAATTATTTGCAAACTATACAACTGATAAAGGACTAATAACCAGAATATGTAAAGAGATTAAGAAACCCAATAACAACAATACAGACAACCCAGTTAAGAAATTGGCAGAGGACTTAAACAAGCATTTTTTCAAAGGAAGAAATCCAATTGGCTAACAGATGAAAAAGTGCTCAAGATCACTAGCCATCAGGGAAATGTCAATCAAAACCACAATGAGGTTAGCCCAATTAGAATGGCTTCCATACAGAAATCAACAAACAACAAATGCTGGTGAGGATGTGGGGAAAAAGGTACCCTAACTCACTGCTGGTGGAAATGTAAACCAGTACAGCCACTATGGAAGACAGTATCTTCACAGTATGGAGATACCTACGAAATCTGAATATAGACCTACCATAGAACCCAGCCATCCCACTCCTGGAAACTTACCTAATGGAAATGAAACCAGCATATGAAAGAGTGATCTATACCCCTACATTTATTGCAGCTCAATTCACAATAGCTAAGATATGGAATCAACACAAATGCCCATCAACTGAAGACTGGATAAATAAATTATGGGATATATGCACCATGGAATACTACACCATGGTGAAAAAAATGAAATCCTGTCATTTCAAAAAAATGGGTGAAACTGGAAAACATCATACTTAGTGAAATAAGCCAGTTCCAAAAGTACAAATACCATATTTTCTCCCTGACCTGTGATAACTAATAGAGCACCTAAAAGGTAATCTATAGAAGTAAAATGACACTTTTGGGAAGCAGTGATTTTGAACAACCCTTGTCTCGATGCTGAGGAACAGTTTTTCCATACTATTTGTTGAACTCTTTACTTAACATAGAGTTAACTGTGTATGTATACATTTAATTGAAAATACATCTTAGTAAAAAACAAGAATGGGAATAGAAGAGGGAAGAGGAAGGAAAATGGGAGAGTGGGTGGGAGGGTGGGTACGGTGGGAAGAATCACCATGTTCCTAAAGTTGTAATTAGGAAATGTATGAAGTATATATTCCTTAAATAAAAGGTTTCTGAGAGAAAAAAAGAAATCTCATTTAAATACTTCAAAGTAGAATTCTATGTCATGTTATAGGTATAAATATTAATCTCTATTACAAAGCAACTGACTAGACAGCTGAAATGCTTAGTGTCTTGGGTCAGGTTCCCTGCAAGTAGAGCCCAAGAAGAAGACTCAAATACTCTTACCCAGGGCAGACTCTCAGGGCAAACCACTAGGAGAGTGAGGGGGTCAAAGGGACAAAGGAAGAAAGTGGGGTATATTTCCGGCTGAATTCCAGCCTCAGCCAGATCTTACTGAGAACTCTTTGGTGTAAATGGCACTCAAGAGCTATTCTGCCTTCATGAAAGGAGAGTGGACTTTGGCAACCCAGGGTTGAGCAGCTGAGAGCTCAGCGGTTTTACAGACCTTCTAGGCATTTCCGGGCTAGCTAGTGCCCAAGCTCTCAGGACAATTCTCCAGAGAAGGAGCATTTTGAAGTCCTAATCATCAAATACCTGCAGCAGCTAGAGGTGGGGCAGTGACCCCCATAAAGCAGATCTGATCATGCATAA